GAACCTAGATTTAAAATTTTCTAAGTCCAGTGGCCTTTGATTGAAGAATAGGAAGGAGGATATTAAGTACAAGGATTTAGGACTGACATTCACCCATCTCAGATAAAGCTGACTTACCCCAGAAATAGTTCAGTACCAAGTCTTTGAATTACATGTATCCTAAAAATTTCCAGAATTCAGTGGAAGAATGTCCCTCTGACATGGTTCATTTGCAGTACAACATTGGAACAGCTGAAGTGAATCTTTTTCATTCCTTCATTCAACAGGTATTTGTAGAGCTTTGTGCTGGGTACTGTGTGGGTTACACAGAAGTACAATGTATAGATTTTGCCCTTAAAGTTGTTATTGCTTAATTGGGATGAGAGGAGAGTAAAGACACACAGTATGAAACCACAGCTTGATAGAGCAGAATTTGAATTTTTAGTCTCTGTGTTTGAAGTTTAGGAAAACTCATATGAAATATGGACCATATTTCCTATTAATCAAGCAAGCATCACCTGACAGATATGCCATTAATCACTGCTTTCCTGTCATGGATTTGCTTGTTCAGAGAAGATTGTCCAAGGTCCTGGGGACTTTTTCTCACCATGCATTATGACTTACAGCTCCTGTGTGTGAGATTAAGAGATGGGAAGAAACAATGAGACTGGGTGAACTGATCACCAGGTTATTGCTTCCATATCCCACTTTGACTTACAGGGGCAGGAGAGCGCAATTAATTCCTTCCTTCAACAAACATTGACCACATACCTCTTTTGAATGAGGCAATGTGATGGACTCTGGAAAGATAAACACAAGAATAAGGACCTGTCCCTGTATTTGAGGAGCTCATAGGGCAGAGGCAATGGTATAGGCCAATCAAGAGAAGACCAAATTCTGGGATTTTGTTTAAATGACCCAGTGAGCACATTTTTTTTCTGTGTGACTGTGGGAGTTTCTGGCACTACCAGGGGAAAATGTGTCTGAGAATGAAGCCCAGTTGTGAAGGTAAAAGAGGTAGTCTGGGATCACGTGGAGACCTGAATAGAACCTCCTCTGCAGGTTGATCAGGTAGTAACTTAATATATCACCTTTTAAAATATTTACTCAGCTTGTGTATGGCTTTGCAACTAAAAGCACTGTGTGTGTGTGTGTGTGTGTAACTAACAATTTCAGTTAATTAGATTTCCCCCTCATTCTGGCTTCTTTCCCTTGCTCAAAATTCTTATGATTTTTCCCCCTCCCTTCACCCTTCTTGGACATCATTTCTAGCCTTCTCTTGGATAAAAGGTCAGTGGTCTCCCCATTTTCTCACAGGTATCACTTATTCCAATTGACATTTACACTTGAGTAAACCTTAAACTTCTCTGACCTTTTTTAAAAGCTAGATTTTAAAGCGATATTTTTTCTGTTTTAAAACAGTACATTATTGTTGCTTTTCTTTGTTAAAGGCCACATCACTCCTTCTAGATTTTTTGGGATGCTTTGTGTGCTCATTTAGATTTTTTTCCCCTCTACAAAACGGGAATCTGCTTCTTTTCTTCCTTTTCCCCTGCAGTATGGGATGCAGATATTTGTAGACACATGGGAACTACATAACAGTAAGTTGGAAAAATATTTAGCACACACCATTTTTAGTCATGTAAAATAAATAAGGGATAAGTCAGCTCTTAAATATTCCACTTAGTGTTGAAAATGAAAAACAACAGATGTAGGTATTTGAGTGGGATACTGCTAGATATAAGTCTGAAGTCTTGCCTAGTTCACACATTCAATTCAATTTGAGAAGGATATGTTGAGCCCTTGCCTTGGCTAACTCTTGGTAATCCATAGGCAAAAGATGAATAAGACATACAGTAATCCATAGGCAAAAGATGATTAAGACATACATTCAGAGTCCACATGCTCGGGTTGGTCCTAAGAACATTTTTAGTCAATCTGTCTGTAAATGATTCCAAATTCCTCTTTCTACTTGGAGATGATATTTCTTACTTGTCCATTGCTCAGCTCCATCAAGCACTTCCTATAGCCCCTTGTCTTTCAGTGGCATCTTGGGTTGAGTATACTTCAAGCACTGTGCCACATGCTTACTCACGTTATCTCAGTGAACTCTTACAATGACTCTAAAAGATATCTGTAAGATGGGCATAATTAGAGTACTCAAGGAGACCAAGGTTTGGGGGCTTAGGACCTTACCTGGGGCCCCTCCACTCATGAGTGGTAGAGGTAAGCTCCAAACTGAGGTTTGTCTGAGTTCAGAACCCATGTGTTTACCTGTACACGATGGCAAGCACGCCCCCTCGCATACACTGAGGGTCCTAGGCTGATACGGCAAATGATTAATATCTTGAAGTTTTCATAATAGGACAAACTCGTAGGTCCAGGGATTGATTTCAAGCTGTTGTGATAGTTTCATTGGGGAACTATTGGGGGTGGGGTGGTACTCATAATCACAATCTGTTGAAGCCACCCCTCTGGGGTCCTTGTGTCCATTAAAACTCTTTAGATACTATAAAGTATCTAAAGTATCTTTCCCCTAATGTTACTTGCTGTTATTTATGAGGTCTGTTGGTCCCCGAATATTCTCTATATTTTTAATATATCCAGAAATATCACCAACAAATCATTCAGAATAAAAACCAAGTTGAGCATCAGGCTATTACTGAGAGAAGAGGCTCCCCAGGAATGTTTAACCTCTATCCTTCTTTATATTTATGGTCCCTTTGCATGTTGTTTATTTTCTATCCTCTATACCTAAGAGAATCTGAGAGATCTTAGGTTCCTAAGCTGCTTAAATCTTTCATTGAGATGTCAGCAAAAGATTTTCATCCTCTCTTACCCACAGACATCTCATTCCTTCCTCTCTTCATTCCTCTATTTCAATGTCAATAGTTCCTATCTTGGTAAGTTCTGGCTAATAAACCTTCACAGCTCCCTTTTTTGAAGTGCTCACTGGTGGACCTGCTTGAACACTCCGATTGTGTCTTTGGGTCTGCCACCTACTGTTTAGCTCAGGGGAAAGCACTGCAGAATTGTTTAGGGCAGAAAGTCATGCTGCCAGAGTGACCTTAGTCCAGGACCCAAAGGCCGAGGAAAACACAGATCCCTCAGCACTTGCTAGAGTTTCTGTTTTCCTGTCTAGCTTGAGTGAAGCTTTAGAGTCCAGGCATTTAAGACCGAAACTCCTCTACAGAGTTACAGCCATTAGGACTGAAAGTGCAGAGAAGCCCTCTCTAAGGGCCATCTGTGGAAGGGGGATATCTCACCAAGTAGCCCTTCAGGCTTCTGACTCTGTCTGAGGCTTCCACATTGGGCTTGACAGAGCTGAACTCTTGTTGGACCAATCTTTGATGCCGGGCTGGTGGCAGGGTGCTTGTTGTGATTGGCCCAGAGGAAACTTTGAAACCACATCAGCCCCCACAGCAGGAGTCCCTTGGAGGACCAGAGGACTTAATCCCTTCAGAGAAGCCCCATTTGGCATGGGAGGTGCTTCCCTGTGGATGCCCACCTCCCAAGGAGATGAAAACCCATGCAGATAGCTCAGCCCTTACTCTGGTATGTGCAGAGATGGGATACCAACCCATGCAGGGTCAATGTACAAAAGGCTCAGATTTCAATTCTTATGGTAATTTAAACCTTCAAATTTCCCTAAGAATTCTCCTATTAGACATTCACTTGATCTATTTAAAAAACCTTGGATATATTTTCATAGAAGACCTTTGAGAACTATGTCCTGAGTTAGAGTCTGTAGGTACAGTGCTATACAGTGTTGGGTAATATGTCACTAACAGGCCCTGGCTTGTGCTAAAAGCTAAGTTAGCTCGTGAGTTCAATGTTTAAAAGGATAGCAACCAAAGGAACAAATAATACAAAAAGTGAGGTTTATCTGGAGAGTTAGTGTGTTTAAAATCACTTTATCACACAACTGGTTAAAGTGAGAGAGAATGTCTTCATCATGTTACCTTCATTAAAACAAACCATGAGAGAGGAAAAGTATTGCTGGCATCAGTTTCATGACATGCTAATCCAACTTAATGAGCAAACTGCATTTCTAATAGTAACGATTATTTGCCTTTGCGGAAGAAAGGTTATTGAATATTTTTCAGCTCTTTGGGGAATCACTTATAAAATGAAATATTTTACCTGTTAGATAAACCATAAATCTTATTGACCTTCTTGCAGTTGGAAGCATTTAAAGGTACATCACTCCCACGTTCTTGGGACTAACATTTGAGAAAAGTCACCTATCAGTTATGAAGTAACTTCTAGACACCTGGCTTCACCACCAGACAGAGAGAAGTAATGTGTCTTCTTCTGGTGAATGGTGACAGATTGTTTTTTAAGGAGACATGGAATTTAAAGTGATTGTCCTTATAAGTCCTTCTAGATGTGACTTACTGGACAGTTTACAAAAGCGATTCAGGCACCAATATGTTTGTACATTTTCCAAATGTGAGTATGAAAAGCAGATACTTTGAGAATTGACATCTGTCACCAATTTTAACTTCTTCAATTAGAGAAAGAACGTAAATGGAAATCCAATTGTGAGCTTATCAAGGACAGGGATCTGTAGCTTATCTTTTTGTATCCTTAGCAGCTAACATTCCCTCAGTAATCCATAGGCAAAAGATAGTTGAGAACTATTTTATCCAACAGGTATTGACTGACCACCTACTACGTTCCAGGCACTGTTCTAGATGCTGAGAATATAGCAGTGAACAAAACAGAAAATCTCTGCTTGCTCAGAGCTAATGTTCTCAAGGGAAGATAAGACTGAAAAATAAGAATATAATATACTTGGTATGAAGAAAAAGAAAGGAGAATAAGGGGAGAGAGAGTGAAGGGAGGGGTGTGCGTGCATGTGTACTGTTTTCTGTAGGTGGCTTCTCTGTTATGGTGCCATTTGAACAGTGATTGAAGGAAGTGAGGAGAGCAGCCATGTGGTCATCTGGTAGAGAGTTCCAGCCAGAGGCCCGAAAGTAGAAATGAGCTTGGTATGCTTAAATGACAGCAGTGCGGGGAGAGGAGCTGGACCCGAGTGAGGAAGGGCCAGAGTGGTAGGACAGGACTTTAGAGGTAGTGTCGGAAGAGGACAGGTCACCGAGGGTGGAGTAGGTCAAGGCTGGGACTGTGGACTGTATTCTGAGTGTGATGGCAGCGCTGGGGGTGGACATTGGAACTGGGGAATGATGCAGGCTTATTTATGTTTCAGAAGTATCTGGCTGCTGTACGCAGGGCAAGAATGGAAACGGAAAACTGTTGGGTGGCTCTTGCTGTACTTCTGCTGAGATGATGGCAGCTGGCTGGTGGTGGTGGTGACCCCCTCTTAGCAAAGAGCCTAACATACAAGAGGTGCTCAATAAATGTTTATAGTTTTTATTCACCAGGATCTCCCTCCCTCCTTCTAATATCTTTAAAAATTTGCCTTGTCAAGAAAGATGCGTTTACTTCCACTCGTACATTCTTTTAAAAGCATTATTTGGGGCGGGAGGCACAGAAAAGAGAATGTCTTCTTAGAGGCTCCCATGGTTAAAATAAGAATGATACCTTAAAGGGATTTTTTAAAAATTAAAAAACTATACTCCTTTATATTCTTCTAATAGATCCATTGTATCTGCTCTTTGCAAGAGACAGTCTATGCTCTCTTCTCTACTTTTTTTTTCTTAAATAAAAAAGTTTTAAAATTGATGCATTACACTTTTAGTCCTGGTCAAAGCTTTGCAGCAAACGATCTTTCCTGTTACACGGTCCTTCTCCATCTGCAAAGGCCGACCCGTTCCCCTCTCTGCTTCCCACGGAGTATGAGCCAAGATGGTTTTCACCAAAGATACATTTTCTCTTCTATCGCATCTCTGATCATGGCCATTAATAATGTCAGCTCGACTCCGGAAACAGTCTGGAAAGTTAATCAGTTGATTTGCTTTCTTCCTCATTTTGTGATTGTCTGGCTACAGTAAAGGCAAAATGTCTGGAAAGTCACAGAGGTCTTTTTAACAGGGCAGTCGACAATTTGGAAGTATGAGTAAGGCAGGGAGGGAGAGGACCAGTATGGGGAGACTAAAGGTAAGAGTTTTGGACACTGCATGGAGAGGAAGTCTAACACGGCTTTGCACCCTGGAGAGTATAGATCAGAGGGCCAATCGTTTCTAATGTGAAACAAAAAGGCTTTCTTCAGGAAGAAGCATGAAAATGTGCACCTGTGCCTCAGATTTCTTTTTCTGCTAAAACGGACGTTATCTTGTGAATAGGAACAAATGGCTGGAAACTCTAAGTTGGTGATGTAGTGATACTTTGAAACATCAAGCAGCATCTTTTATAAAAAGTAAATGAAAGGGTAAAAATATTAACACTCTATAAAAAAGCTATAGCACCTGCCTGAAGCAGGTGTGCTGAATGCTTTAATATTTATTTATTCATTTATTTATTTTTAGTCTCAAGCACTGTAACTGAGAAAATTGACTTTCACATTAGGCAAAAGAGCAGTTGAGAATTCTAATAATGCTCTAACAATATCTATTCACCTTTTGTCATAAAGTACATTAAAATAATGAGAACATTGGTGGAACTCTTGGGTAGCTCCTAAAATTTTTGAAGATACCAAGAATTTGATAATGGGCATTTTAACCAAGCAGATAATCCCCTAAACATAAATAGCCTCTCAAATTATTTAAGGGCAGTAGCCATGTAAATGATATGAAATGAGAGGTTTAATAACAATAATAAGCATTTTAATAATATGATAATAGATGTGATCAACATCTTTTAAGTGATTATTCTCTGACACGTACTGCGTGTGTGCACGTGTGTGCATGAATGCACATATATTCTGCGTGTGTATAAGCATGCACAAAAACATTTAAAATTTTTTATTGAGATATAATTACATATCATAATATTTACTTATTGCAAATGTACAATTCAATAATTTTAGTAAATTTATAGAGTTGTGCAACCATCATCACAAGCTAGTTTTAGAACATTTTCGTCACCCCAAGGTATTCTCTGGTACCTGATTGCAGTCAACCTCACTCCCACTCCCAGCCCCAGGCTGCTTTACACACTGTCTCTATGTGTTTGTCTTTTCTGGACACTGCATGGAAGCGGAATCATACAGCATGTTGTCTTTTGAGTCTGGCTTCTTTTATTTAGCACAATATTTTGGAGATTCATTCAGGTAGTATCAGACATCAGTAGTTTATTCATGTTTATTGCCAAATAGTGTTCTATGGTATGGATGTGCAGCATTTAGTTTGCCCATTCACCAATTGATGGGAACTTGAATTGTTTTCAGTTCTGGATTATTATGAATAATGCTGCTATGACTATTTATGTACATCTCTTTGTACACACATAAAATTTTAATTGTCCCAATTAGCCTATGCTTTAGAAGCATTATAATTTCTTTTTCTCCAGATAATGAAACTAAGGCTCAAAAAATTATGAAACTTGACCAAGGTGATAAATGCAACAAGGGTAATATTTTGAAAAACTGTTGAATGCACTTTCTTCTTTGGCGTTTCCATATACTTTACTGACTCCCCAATTAGCCCTGAGTCATTTATCTACTTCAGTGAGAGGTGAGGGAATTAGGAGCATTAAAGCAGAACTAAAAAGATAGAAGAATAAGTTAATCAGCTTCTGACATTTGGTATAAGATTTAGGGGCAAGATAGTAAGATTAAAAGCCAGGTTTTAGAAGGAGGGAGTATAGGGCAAGGAAAGGGAGGAGGATAGGACATTAATTTATTTTTTATTATTTTTAGCCTATCGAGAGGAACACTTGGCAGATTTGAGTGGTGAAGAAACCTCTTCTGCTTGTTGGCCTGGCCGTTTGGCTTCCTGCCCTGGTTGAGGAGGAAGAATTTGATGGAAAAGGTAGGATCCTGCTTCTCTGGCCAGGGATGTTGTGGGAAGTGATAAGAGCGGCAGGGCTGGCTGGGCACGTGGGCCCCGATCTTCCCACTGTGGACTTTGTGCCAGAGCAGGTGAGGCTGGTGGGGTTAGTTGAGGGGATGACAAGGTCAGGGGCTTTGGACTCAAAGCACATTTGGGGCTCTGGGCAGAGGTTGCCTCCAGTCTGTCCTGCTCCAAACAGAGGGAGAGCCGCGTCCCAGGAAACCTGGCAGCTCAGCGTGGTTGGGCGGAGAGAAGGCCAATGTCCGGCTTTGCTAAGTTGCCCACAGGGGCCTCGTGGCGTGGAGGGTCCCCTCGACTTTCCTCTGTGCCCTGAGGGTGGACCCGGTGCAGGTGGTCTGGGGGACATTAGCACTGCATTATGGAGAATGTGGATGGACTGCCTGCTTCTGGGCTTTGGATGGAGGGTGTGACTAAGACTCAGCGGTGTAGCTGGGGCGAGATCAGACCTAGAACCTTTCTAGGCCATCATCGAAAGAGAAAGATCTGGCCGTGGAGTGTCAGGCACGGAGTAGCAGAATACTCAAGGGACAGAACCAGTAACAACTATGAGGTCCCAGCGGGCTGGCTCATACCCAAAGGCTGGCTTGAGACCAGGGGTATCTTGCCCTACGGCTGGGACTAGAGTGAGGCCAGTAAGATGCCTAGGTCACAACTTTTAAGGAGGCACTTGTTCTTCCACCTCAAGGTTATATAAACCCAGCTCTCATATTCCCAGTCAACATAGTAGGGAGCGCAAGGGAGGGGGTGGAGTCTATCTGACAGAATATTTATATTTAAAGCGAGAGAGCTTTATCTAAGGCATTTTAAATTACTGTGTCAGTCTAGGTCTGCTGGAGTAGACTTTATCTAGGTTTTGTCGTTTGTTTACTTGCTTGTTTTCCACTACCAAGGGCATGAGGGGTTATTTGAAAGAACAGGTCTGTTAGGGAGATGGATAAAGAAACACCATTTCCTTGGCACATGGGAGAGCAATGTGAGTGGATTCGTGACCTGTTTACATATCACCATACAAATAATAATAGTAATAATAACTAAGAAGTCCCAAGAGCTGATTGTGTGCCAGGCACTGTTCTAGGTACTTTATGTGTATTAAATATACGGTGCATCTTCACAAGACCCTGTGTGGCATTGTGTGCTTTCCTCATTTTACAGAGGAGGAAACTGAGACAAAGAGAGACACAGTAACTTCCCCGAGGTCACAAAGAGCATGAATGGTGGTGAGCCAGGTTCTCGGTGTGGAGGACCGTGCTGGGAACCGCTTCAGCATGAAGGCAGTTAACTAAGATGATATCATCTTACATGGTATAGCACTCTCACTTTTCCAAGAACTTTCACTGTGTGATCTTATTTTATCCTTGTGAAAAGCTTAGTGGTCAAATGGGACAGGAGGCAAAATTGCCAGTTTACATATGAGGGAATCATGATGCCAGTAGCAGATAAGGAATGACATAGGGCCTTGAAAATGCCAGGCCGGCTCTGACGAGAGCTTAAGTGTGTGGAGGATCGTAGGGAGGCATCATGGAGTACATTAAATGTCCTGTCAGGAAGTTCGGCTGGGAAAGTTAAATGCAGATAAATTAGAGACCAAAAAGAAAAGATATGGATGACATACTTGAAGTTGACAATGTGTTTAATAATTATATCTTAGGATTCTGTCTGGGTCTTAAAAAAGAGAAAATAAAAAGCTGCTGAATGTGTCAGCCTTCTGTTAAGTCCCATAACCATATTCTTCTTACTATCAATTCTCATTAAAGGTTGGTTGAACATAAATAAAATGCCAGTTTTGCTAATTACTAAAGATATTTAAGGAATAATCTCCATCTTACAATGTTAGATGAAGCAAATAAATAGCAGCCAAGCTTGGTTCATGACCAAAGCAAACCTGAGGCAATCAATCACAAAACTCATTTATTTCACAGCATGAGATAAAGAAATGTTTTCTAAAATGTGGCATGTGAGATAGTTTTAGGTAATATCCAAAATGAATATTTTTATTTTAATATTTTTATTAGAAGGATATTAGTTTCCTATTTATGGGAATGGTATACTTAAATTTAAGTTTAACAGTCAAGTTGTTTTAAAGGACATAATAAATAATAGCACAAGTGGTATACAAATATGGGAACATCATAAAGATGGCACACAAATGACTGAAGTTCAGGGAACACTTTATTAATGCAACAAAGACCAACTGGTTATATAATAACTCAAAAGTGAAGGTGAGATATTTTACTCCCAACCTACGCTCAACTTTTATTCAGGGTTTACTATGTATCATAAACCATGCCAAATATTTTACTTCTATTAGCTCATTTTATCTTACAACAGTTGTAAGATAAATAGCAGAACTTTGATTTTCCTTGGAGGGGGCAGTGACTCCCAACTGAAAGATTATGTTCCCAAGTTTCTTTGCAACCAAGAAGACATGTGACTCTTCAGACAGATGAGCTATAAATGATGAGCTTAGAAGTTGTGCGGAACTTTTAAGACTGGCTGCTTAAATGGAGCTAACGTATATGGAAGAAGTGCCCATCTGTCCTTCCCTTTTCCTCCTTTCTGCTCCCTGGAATGCCTTAGTGATGGCTAGTACTCCAGTAGCCATCTTGGAACATGAAGTAAGTTTGAGGATAGAAGCCAAATGCTAGAATGATGGACTAGAAAGAGAGAAGCAGCCAGAAGCCCTGATGACCATGGAGCTGTATCTTCTCTTGGCTGTCTACCTCAGATTTCTTTTACTTGAGCTAGAGGTAAACTTTTATCTTTAAAACTTCCATTATTTGAGGTTTTTGGTTACAACAGCCAAACCATACTAATTGATAGAAGATGACACATCAATTTGGAATGCTTTTGAATATAGGTAACTGTAAAAAAACTTATGGAAGCTTAAACATAGGGGTTTATTTTTGTTACATAAAACAGTAAAGAAATAGGTGGCTGTCTAGGTTCTCTTCTGTTCTTCCACCTTTAGCTTACTGGCTTCTGTCCTCATGCTTGACATCTCATGGCTGCATGACTGCTATAGCTCCAGCCATTATGTCCACATAGCAGGCAAGAAGGAGATGGAAGAGTCAAAGTTCTGTTCCTCATAGGTGTTTGTCTTTTTATTTGTTAAGGGAATTTCTCCCTAGCAGAGTTCTCCCAACATCCCATTATTCAGCCCTGCATCTCCTAGATCTTTCTGAAATCAAGGGATCTCTGTTAACTACTGCAATATATATTGGCTTCTCTTATTAGGGAAGAAGGAAGTGGGGAGAGGCTGTGGAGAGGACATGGACAGTGAGAAAACCAAGGCTTAGAGATGAGGTGACATGGGAATATTACATAGCCAGCAGGTAGAGGAAGAACTAGGTTTTGAATAAAGCTCGAACCCTCAAACTGGGGGTCTTACCTACTTTGATGAACTGCTCTCAGAAAGACCTTAAACATCTAGCTAACTCTCCTTCAAATTTTACTTTTAGACTCTGTTAGGGATTTTATACAGGAAATACTAAATTAAGTGGCAGATAGAACTAGAGAAACCTGAAAGATTCCTTTTTAAATTAGGCTTTAGAGCTGCTCTGTCTAGTAGAATTTTTGAAATAATGAAACTGTTCTACGTTAAGCTAATATGATAGCCACTAGCCTCAGCTATTGAAGACCTGAAATATGGCATTTATAGAGCAATATAACAATGAAAAAGGAACTGAATTTTTAATTTTATTTAATTTCAATTAATTTCAATTACAACAGCCACGTATAGCTAGTTGCTATGGTATAGAACAGCACAATTGTAGAACTTCAAAATATTAGTTCCTAGAATATCCCTCAATGCTAAGAATCAACAAAATTCCACCCCTCAAATAGATCTTTTTTTTTTTTAGATTTCAAGATCACCCAGAACAACTTCCAGTCCTGTAAGCTCCATTTATAATAAATGCCCTATACAAGTGTTCAATTTTTAAATTTTTTATGCCATATTTTTACTGTACTTTTTCTATATATAATAATACTGCCTGCTATAGCCTATTGCTCCTGGGCTACAAACCTGTACAGTACTGAATACTGTAGGCAACTGTAACACAATGGTATTTGTATATCTAAACATATCTAAACATAAAAAAAGGAGAGAGAGAGAGACTGCCCAAGAGGAGATCCTTCTCTTTTTCCAACTAGATCTTTTTTGTTTTTAAAAATTAATGGCCCACTGTTGCTTTGCATGAAGTGGTGTTAAAAGCCAGCACAAGTAATTATTTTATCTAAAAAGTTCAGTGTGGACATAATCGTGTTATAAATATTGGTGTAAAGGATTGGCCTGTGAGAAGTACTGATTTATGGAGCTCCAAGTTTCCTTTACAGCAAGTCAGCTTGCTTTTCTGAAGTTCCAGGAGGACAGCTCTCTAGCCCAACCTAGGAAGAAAGCACTGGTAAGCAGAGCTGGCCCGCAGTGGCATGGGTTAGCAGGCAGAAGTAGTGAGCCTCCCGTTAGTGCTGATGCAGGGCTGGTCTACTACTTTAGCTACAAAACCCTGTGATGACTTTTTCCCGAGTCAGTAATCAGTTCAGATCTTTAGTTTCCAGGACACAGTTAATTTAAATACTTTGCCCTAATATTGTGTCCAAAGAGATGAGAATATTTTAAGATGTGTCATGTGTCATGGATCTGATTTGGAAGTTTCAGGGAAAGATACTAGTTCCCATCAGCTTTTCATCTCCCATAATACCAGGAACTGCTCCATTTCTGCGTGAATACATCACTTAGAGCAAAGGACAATACATGAATGCAAATTGAACTCTTCACAGGAATAGGTGCTCAGGTGCTGATTTGCAAACACAGTCAACTTTTTGTTTTTGAAGGGCTCCTGATATGTGTATGTTGACACCCAGTATTATCATTTTAGCAAAAACCTTTATTTGATATGTAAGATCTTAGACAACAAACAATGGAGTATGAGAGTTATTAATGGTGTTTGCACTTTAAAATAATAATGTAAATCAACCATATAGGTACTAATGTCAATCTGATTAACATCAGACTTCTGATCAGAAACCATAGAACATCCTTAAAGTTCTGAAAGAAAGTGACTGTCAACCCAGAGTCAAATATTCATCAAAAATACCCTTTGAGAGTAATAATAACAATAATAAAGGTTATTTAGAAAATCCAAAAACTAAAGTTGAAAACTTTCTTTGCCCTCTCCCTTAAGATTAAGATACAGTTGGCCATCTGTAGCTATGCATCTTGTTGTTGCTAGTAAATACAGCCACAGGAGCTTATTTTATGTGAAAAGCCTCCATCTGCTAGATGTCATCTTTACGTACCTGTGGAAAAATGAATAAAATAAGAAGGGTCCGCTCGCTTCTGACCTTGAGTCTCAGGCAGATTATGCACATAATATAGTTTCCTTTTCTCTTTGACAGATGTTGATTCCAAAATGATAGCACTGTAGGCTTTTGACAGTTTTATCCTTTTACCTAAAAGGGGGCAAATTGGGCTTCACAATATTTCCGGTTGGCATATATTTGGCTGCTATGCAGGGAGTGATCTTTCCTTTAATGAGCAATACTCTATGTCCCTTCACAGCATCTTTTCTAGTTGTAAAAATGCTGAAGCCTCCTTTGTCTCTCTGGTCTTTTTGCCAAGCATAAATGAGAAACTATTGTAAGTGAAAGTGGTCTGAGAAAATCCTCACGTGTGTCATGGACCTATTTGTCCACTGGAGGGTAAACAGCATGAGTCGCTGTGAATGCGCTGACTCATTTGTTCCCATCTTTTCAGACCCAGCCCCAAAAGGCTTCCTAATCCTCTTCCTGCCTTCTGTTCACCACCATCACCAAGACATTATTCTCCCGGGACTGTTCGTTTCCCAGCGGTTGTGTGTAATAGGAGCACTATTTAAGCAGAATTCACCATCGCCCAGGCTTCCTTTGGTTCAGGTACGTCGCTCCCACTTATACTCAGCTCTGTAGAAAGTTGGAGCCGAAAGAGGAGCCTTAGAAGTTATGCTCATTTTGTAAGTAGAAAAAACAGAAACAAAAAAACAAAGAAACAGAACCTCTCCAACAGAAAAGGGGATTGACAGCTCAAGGCAAAACTAGAACTGGGCACGGGCCCTTGTTTTCTCTGACATGTGGACTGTGAGAAACACCCAGAGAAGCAACATGAGTCTTAATGTTTGTATGGAAAATTAGGATGACTGACTCTAAACATGAACTTCCTTGGTGTTGACCTCGGGCAAAGTAGAATGCATGCATGAGAGGGCTTGTTAAATTTAAGAGTGAAAAACCGAGGGGGATTTAGGTATTATTTCAAGATAATTTATTGTAGAAGCATAGCCCTACTCTATTTTTCAATGTAATCACTTCCTAACTCCACACATTTATTTTGTGATGGACAAGTTTTCTGTTATTATGAAGGAAAAACAATATATAGAAAAATATAGCTTTTAGATGGGGAAAAAAAGAGAAGAGGAGAAATAATTGAGCCACCACATGCTTGAAGAAAGACTTCTGACTGTGTCAAAAACTGGCATGTGATCCTGGGCAAGTCGCTTCATCCTGCTATGCCTCAGTTTCTCCATTTTTAAAAGAAGTGCTTGTTCTAGATCTGGAATTGTGGCCCTGGACCAGCATTATTATTATCACCTGTGAAGCGTGTGCAAGACTGAGAACAGCTGTGAATAATTTCATTATCAAGGCTCCCGTCTCAGAGGCCAGAGCTAACGCTGCAGGAAAACCGTGATACTAAGATCTCCCTGCTCTCCGAGGTCACTTCCAGAAGGTAAGTCTATGATTCTAAGGTTCCCCCTGATTTTGTACACTGTTCCTTGCATTTCTGGGTCGATTGGACACTTTCCGCCTGTAGAAATCAAATGTCGGTTTACCTTTCAAATGTGAGGGTTCCATGTAAAAAACCCGCCAGCAGCAGTACCAACCAGGAACTCTAGTTTTGCATCTAGAAAAGCAAGTACTTGCAGTCACGAGTATTCAGGGAGTGAGTATCATTGCTGGAAAATGAACGTTCATGATGGCTGTAAACTCTTTCTTGTGGCCTTGCGTTTTTCCGGTCTTACCACAGTGGAGATAATATCACCAAGTGTTCTGAGCGGGGGCTCTGGCTTCCTGTTGCCTGCTTTCTACTTGAGCTCTGTCACTGCCAACCTTGGGTACCTAACTTTCTGTTTTAATTTCAGTTTCTCCATCTGTAAACGGGGAAACACAGAGTATCTACTTCATAGAGTTGTTGTGCGGAATCAAAAGTTACAGTTCACGGAAACGTGCTCAGCGCGGCTGGCATGTATTAAGCACTTAACAAGCATCATTATTCCACTTCTCAATATGCTGCAGCTTTCGAACGAGGGGGTGATGTTTCCTGTAGCAGATGACATGCAAATGATACGCAAATGTGAAGGAAAATGTAAAATTCTTGGGGAATTATTTTATAGTTGGAAAGTCTCTTATATGTGCAACAATGGTCCAGTCGATGATCTCGAAGGAGTGAGGAGTCATATATCATGGCAATCTCAAAAAGAAGGAGAACGGACCAGCACAGCTAATCCTTTCTGGTGTCACCTCTCTAAACGTACATTTTATTTTCTCACAGTGTTAAATCCTGATTTCGTTCTTTAGATCACTTCCCCAGTTCACTGAGCTCTGATTAACAGGCTTCCCAGGTTAGATGCGATTCCTGTTATGTGCTCGAGCCAGCCCCATAGCTTCCCTTTCGCAGCGCTTGTTACTGTTGAAATAATTTGTTCATGGTTTGCTCTCATGAGGCTGTAGGCTCCATGAGGGCCAGGACCATGCTTGTTAATTGTATGTTCATGGTTTAGCCCAGTTCTTGGTTCAAACACAGTAGCTCAGAATCTGCCCCTCTTCATGCCCACCTAGATGCCTTGGCACAAATGTGTGTTCTGAGGGTTTGCTGAGTTACCGATTGACCAGCCCTTTGGGATGTCTGGGGGGCACAGAGATGGTCAGGGTCTCGGGGCAGTCTCCTCCCACTTCTAGCAGCTTCCTCTATTTATCCTAGTGTGGACTAAAATTGTCAGAGTGTGCTCTGATGTTCAAAAGGTTGGTAAGTACTGCAGTGTTTGTTGGATGAATGGAATAATAACTATGTAGATGGATGGATAAATGGTTATTGCAATCCATGAGAAATAATGCTTATGTATTGGACAGTGTAATAGAATCAAAGAGGTAGGTGGGACCTATCACAGAACATACCCAAGGCCACTTAAATAGTCCAAAACAAAGCTGCAAGGTTGCTTGCTAGGCAAAGGAGACTCCCATTCCTTAGGAAAGGTGCTTTTAGTTTCCTCAAATAGAAAAGAAAGCTAGATCTAGCCTGAGAGAACTTTTATCTAAGTAAGGTAAAAGTCTACTTGTCAATCTCTGGATCCAAAATGGACTGCAAATTCTCTGTTGAGACAGTTTTGTGTCATTGATACTGAGAACATAGTCCTCAGGTCCAAGAGGATTAGTAGACTCTGGGTCGTTAGCAGGCAGTACCACACATACCTGTTCCAGGGTGAAGCAGAGTTTTCCTTTCATATATTAGCACTGTGAGAAATCCCTCCTTTATTAACTCTGTTGTAAACCAATCATTTCAGCAACATGGCCAAATGGTGTTGGTTGAGGCGAGGTGATTTTTATTTACTTACTGTTCCTAGTTAAAACAATAACAATAAAACATTGTTTATTGCTCCATTTGTTGCATTAGGAGTCCAAGTTAGGGAAATGAGTTGCAGGTAAGGCTGTTTGGATTTAATATCCAGACAGAATTGGTGTCGAACAGAAAGGAAGACAATTTTCCAGTTCCTTCTACCCCACCATTCTCTATTTCATACCTGATGTCATTTCCTCAAAGCATAACAGCTTTCAAGGGCCATATATTTGCAAAGTGGGTTTCCTATTGTTTCCAACTCTGACTTAAGATGTCTGCTATGGTCTGGAGGCTTGGGGGGTAGCATACCTTATAGATTATATTAAATTTGCTTAATAGGGTTTTAAGTATTTGCGTTTTAGCTATTTGTGTTTGGTGTTGGTGTAAGTCACGAGTCTGGCTGAGGCTTATGTTAATCTGGCTGAGGGAATGTTAATCATGAAATAAATGATGAGCAAGACCCCAAACATATTACATATGAGAAAATGTCTTCTCCTTCCTCAACTGGGTTGCCATGGTGACTGGTGGTGGGAGTGTCAGCAGTGAGATTTGGCAGAAATAGGGGGAGATGTTATAATATAGGGCCTTAGAAAAATTTGTGTAATTGTTCCCCTAATGGGTTTGAGCAACCATATGCTCAGTTGCAAGAAATTCCAGTATTTCTTGAATTCAAAGGGTTTCTGTCCCCTCTGTGTTGGCTTGAAGGGCCATAGCTATGGCAGAAAATGGATTCTAGACCTCTTAACCAACAATAACAACAAAAATAAGTAGATTTAGGACAGAATTATCATCCCAGGCATGATCTCTTGTTTCTCATGAGCAGGCACTGAACTTTAGATTCTTTGTCATTATTCACCCCTCTCCCATCCTGTGAAAGTACAGATTTTGCTGGTGGAGAGTAACTGAAAAATAATGAGGGCAGCTGCCCATCATCTCTTAGTGGCAGGTCAGGAGAGAGGTGATTCTGCAACATACAGATAAAACCTTTCCAGGGAGAAACTTAATGGGAGGTGAAGTATAATAAGTAAAACACAAGTCAATTGAGGAGCAGCAAGAAAGCATGACTTCTGGGAGGAAAAACCCAAACAAACTCAAATGTAAGAATAAAATGAAAATGTCTTTCCGGAATGAGAGAAAGCAAAGCGATTCAGAGAAAAAGTGGCAAAGGCGGAATTGAACCTACGCTTAATAACTTCTTTTTATTATCTACCTTGATTCTTCTTGGAACTCAAAGTGCTTTCAGAGGATCTGTCTGAAATTGTTTGTTAACACAAAGAAGTTACGTAAAGACCACTTATCTCCTTGGAGTTCTAAGCCACACAGTGAAGATAGAGAAGGAGGAGACTTATTTATAATTTGTAAACCAAGTTGCTAAACTTGTTTACCCTTGATTTGTTTTTTTTTTTGAAGTCATTGGCTCTACTTGGGTATGGAGGAGAAGGGTGAAACTGGGGAGTGGTTTCTTGATTCTTGTGAATAGTGCATATAACGGTGAGGATGTATTGCCAAGAAAATGTTATGTCTTGTTTCTCCCCAGATATCTCCCACCAATTTATTATACTATCATTTAATCCCACACCAAATTTCTGATTCAGTAAATGAGGGCAGAGTCTAATCTGCATTTTAAATAAGTACTCCAAGTAATCCTCATGCAGGTAGTCTAGGAAACACTTGAAGATGCGTTGACATTGGCTTATGCCTGTGGTAGGCCCCAATGTAAGATAAATATGGTTTGTATTTCAGTTCAGCTACCTTCAGGCTGTGTGACCTTGGGCAAATGATATCTCTGCGCTTATTTCCTCTTGTAAAAAAAGGGATAATATTAGTGTCTACCTCACAGAGTTGTAATTTAATGAAATGATGCAGAAAAACATTTAGTATACTATGTGACACAGAGTAAGCCCTCAACAAGTGTTAGCTATATTGTCATTTTTATTGTTGATAATGGGCTTGATGATCCCTTTGAGCCTTTTTAGACTTTTGGACATAAGGAAGGAGAGGGAATGTGAACTAGCTTAAACAAAAGGGGAGTGTATTGGTTTAAGTAAAGTACAAAGATTCTTTGCTTGACCAAACTTTAGTCAGGCTCTTGAACTTACTTTCTCCCAAGCCCATCTCTGCACTTTATAAAATCTAGTTTTAGCAAGAACCCTGCCAAGTCAGTTTAGTAAGAGTCCCCCATCCTCCATATCTGACCACCCTTGACAGCTGATCGGATTCCTTATCTTCCACTATCCCCCAGGTGATGTGTGATCACCCCAGCATGTCTCTGGCAAGAATCCTGTTATGGGTTTAACCAGAATCCCCCTTACCCCTGATTTTTACTTTTAGTAATTTTCTGCCTACTGACCATCCCTCCCACCAATTTTGATTCTTGGCTATAAATTCACATTCGTCCACTGTATTCAGAATTAAGCCCAGTTCTATACTGTGGTCTCTTTTTCCCATTGCAATAGGTCTTGGTTAAATTTGTTTTTACCACTTCCAATTACTTTCCAGCTCTGTTTTTTCTTTGACATAAATAAATTGTGGAAAATGCAGGTGTAGAAACGGCCTTGGTGACTAGATCGGGGAATTGAGCCCTGTCTGAACTCTTACTTCTCGTAGCATCTTCTGTGTGACATCGTCTTTCTTTTGTTCCAGGCAAGGCTTTTCTCATGCTTTCCCAGGCTTTCATAGTTTGTGACCAGAGAGGAAAAGAAACTGCTACCAGGTCTGGCCAGAAAAATTGGTGGGAGGACTGCAATCAGCTTAGCCGAACTTATGTGCCCATCCATATACCAAGATTGGTTGTGCCTGGGTCATGTATACACCTTCTTATTAGAGGGTGGGAGGACCCACGGTGGGCAAAGACCCTTAGCTACTCACTACCCATTTCTTCTGCTTCTCTGCATCCCTGTAATTCCGCACCTATGATACATACACAGCCCAAACCCCAAAGGTACCTCCTAGGCATTGGAGACGCAGCGAGATCCAAACAGGCATGCTTCCTGCCCTCAGGCATCTCGCAGTCTGGTGCAGAAACAGACCTTCAGAGTGAGGAGATGAAAGACATTGCGATTGCTCTAATCTTGGTCCTCCTCTATTAGCAGTAACTGAGGAAACAGTTGTAACTA